CATGTTAAACTTATATTAAAGTTTTTCTTCATTACCCATTTAAGCCGTCTCCAGCCATTATTAGACTCAAAGTGGGTTCCTCGTCATCGAATATAGCACATCAGCTAAAATTTTATATTGTATGTCAATAACGGTGTGATTTAAATCATTATAAATTTTATTGTAATATATTATCACACACACACACACACATGTTGTTATTAAATGTAATGTTTTTCACCGACGAAGGCATTTTACATCTAAGATTTTTTTACTCGAAATATTTAATAACATTTCAATTATATCACGTTTCCTAAAAAATAACTTTAAATAAGTATTGTTTCATTTACTGGAAATATAAGGTTGCAAAAAATAAAGATTTCTTAAACAAAATATAAAATAAAATAGATATATTTTACCTGGAACAATGGCTACTGTCTTTAAGGCTCTAAGTACACGAAACGTCCTGAGGGCACTCAGATTACCTAATTCAACTCCCATTGTCAGGTACCTTTTAAATATGATAAAACAATTAGAAAATATCAATATGATACCTTATGATAACTACTGCCTTTATTTGAGGATGGAAGAAATATAAGCCAGTTTTCAAATTAAACGTTTACTTTGATATCTGAGTAAATTAAAGTCAAGAAGAATGAAACAAACGCGGGCAACTTTCTTTTCTTTTTACTCTTTAAAATCATAGCATTCTCGTTATTGTCCACTTCATCGTTTCTCTTGTAAATTTTTCTGATGATAAACTCTCAAACAAGCTTTGCTTATCAGGCAACACAATTCGAAAAACTGCAGCCCAAAGTAAATAAAAATACACATTGAAAATACTTTAAATTGATCTGAAAATTGCGAATTTGTCTGATTTGTTTTGGCTTTAATGTCTTACATAAAGCATTAAATGAGTTGATACAAATGATACTTCACGCACACCATTATATTTTTTTTGGACTAAGGAATTACTGTGTACATATTCATGTCATGTATTAAATATGCAGCAGGGAAATACATAACAATTCATAACTTCTGATGTTGCAATTACAAAGTGAATTAATTAGTATTGTGAAAATTACATGAAAATCGTGCTATTGAGTCGAACTTAATTTAGTTATTAAATGAATTACTTGTAATAATTCGTAATTATTCAAGTCATATTACCATTAGTTCTAAATGAGCAAACTTGGTTATCGTATTATAAATGTGTGTGTGTGTATGTATATGTAGACACACACACAAATACATGAAATAGATAAAAGTACATACTGAAAATTGCGAATATGGCTAAATTTTAAGGCTTCTAATATATATATTACTATTCGTTTATTCACTTTAATAATTTTTTAAAACTATGGTAAATCACCATAGCGAAAATACATACGCAACTTTTATATCAAAGCACTGAAACCGAAAACAAGTTTCACTTACGCTAATGTTATCACGATAAAGTCCAACCAGTTCCAGGGATCTCGAAGATATGTAAAGCGTTCTAGTATAAAACCACGAGCAGTCACCTTTACAACAGATTCAACAGTGTAGATTGTTGTGAAGATGATTCTAGAGAAAGATAAACAATAGATGAAAAAGACAAAATGTAATAGATGTTTCATGAAAGTTCAGATGATTTTAAAGGACAGCATACACATCAAGATTAAGATGCATTAATATTTCAAGTTAATTATATCTAGCAAATTTAATTCCACATTATTTGCTAGAGTGTGTGTAGACATATATACGCACACACATATGTATACCAATCTTTGAATTCCATTATATGTGACTGAAGAGAATAATATTATCACTATTTCTGAAGCCTAAGTTACATACAAAAATACTCACGTATTTGAACATTAGAATAGACTGTTATAAAAAAGAAAATACAACAGAAATGTTTACTTACTCGGACTGTTCTATTTTTTCGTTAGAGGGCAGCGTCATGAGGATGCAGTTAATGAGAATGGTAATAATGACCAAAAAGCTAAATATAGGATGGACGAGTACATAGATGGCGACTCGACGGATGGGATTGAAAGGACTCAGGATCCAGAGGGCGTTAGTGGCACTGAACCGAAATACATCTTTACCGTTACTGATGACAACAAACGTCTAAAAGATAAGAAGAAACAACACATTACCGAATAGTCTTGATTGCTTGAAATTTATCAATATATATGTGCTATAGCTTCCTAAATGATGAATATTAGATAATTAACGATACACACACACACACACACACACATATATATATATATTAAGCGCTTAGTGTCATGCTAATTACCAAAAGTTAAGGTATACATTTTGACTAATAAATTATATACATCAAAGTGGACAAAGGTTCTCTTTTAAAATGACAGTTTATTTTGAATAAGCCACGAATAAGACACATGTTAAATATAAAATCGAACATTTAAAGTTATTATGATCTTTTGGTAACCGTATTTACTTTAGCTTAAAACACACAAATTTTCAACACTCATATTGAAAATGAAACATAAAAATTAATTCTACCAGCTACTCCAAATATTCAGAAGATATAATTTAATTTACAGACTTTCCCCGAAAAAATAAGCAGTTAAATACTATTTAACTATGCTCCATTTTAGGGTTCAAAGCCCCCTCCCCCATGATTCATAGAGGTTATAATGTATCGATCAAGCTCTTCCGTTACTTCTGTGACAACTGTGACTAATCAAGAGGGTCTGTGATCGTAAACAAACCCTGTTAGGAGATCCGCCCGTATTCTCTGCGCACATGTGCTACGTTTGGTCCCGTTAGCTTGTGAGTGGGGGTACTTACAGTATCAAATATAGTCCTCCGGAATTTCTAGAGGGACTAGGAACTCAAAAACCGATGCTAGATTTAAATTCAGCGACCCTGAAAACCTTCTCTAAAACACCCTCATGCCTGAATCGAACTTCTGACGGAAATTTAGATGATAACAAATCGACAGTCGGTTGTGATGTCGGTCAACGAACAGCCAACATCCGGAGTGCTCGAAGATATATTATCTTCCTTTGCCTCGCGCGAGGTAGGTGTTTATTACTCGGAACTGAAGTATTTTGCTACAGAGGAGGAGTAATTTTTGCTTATTAGATTTTAACAAAAAAGAAGTAGGATAGGTGTGGCATGAGGTGAAGGAGGCAAAGTTCAGGGCGTGGTTGTTCTGGTGTTTATCTTAGAAGAAACAGTACGACAAACTTTCAACAAACGGGTTTTTTCAGGGATCTATAAACCCAATGCCTAGAATTTTGTGTGTGAGGGGGGAGACCCCGAGAAAACCCACTTTTTACTGGGAAAGGGGATCAATAGCTCGCCCAGTGCCCAGGTACGAGGGGAAGAGGAAGGCAACGAGAGCTGTTTGATGAATAGTCGATTGTCCGAAAGAAAGCTTAAAACAGGATAGTTATATACACAGACACACATATATGTAACTGCTCTATTTAAAGGTTATTGTTATTATCATGAATAAGGTTATAGAGGATAAATATTTCCTCATTGTTAGTTGATTTTTATAGTAGCTAATGGCGAGTTTCATAATTCTGTTTTTAATTGGGGGAGTTTCGTGATTTTTTTTCACGTAACATGCAGGTGTTATAAAAATGGAAGTGGTGTGCTAAACGGGAAACCGGGTTTTGTATGATAGGTCTGATAAACACTTTATAAATGTGGAGAATCGTAGATGTCTTGCATCTGTGAATATGATTCATATTTTTTAGATATCCTATTCTTAATAGTAGTTTTTTCCTGATCTTTTTAAAGTGGGACTGCCAGGTAAGATTGCTGTTTAAGGTCATGCTCAGAAATTTAACTGTTTTTGAGAAGACGATGGTAGAACCATTAATAGCGAGTTTTACGTTTTTTAAAAGTTTGTTGTTTTTTTTTCTTTTGTTTAGGCTTCTGTGAAATATAATAGCTTGTGTTTTTGTTGGGTTAAGTATTATACGCCGTTTGTTGCACCATGCAAAAATTTTGTTTAATAATCTTTATAATTTCTTATTTGCGAAAGTCGGATCTCTAGAAATGCTCCAGATCACGAAATCGTAAGCATATTGTAATCTGGTGTTTCGGGTTTCGGAATAAGGTGTATAAGAGAAGGATAAGAACTGAACCTTGTGGTACTCCGGCATTAAAGGTGAATAGTTGGGATCTAGTGTTATTAATTTTTACTTTGGCTGTACGATTTTCGAGAAAACTGTCTATCCATTTAGTATAGGTTATGGATATTTCATATTTAATTAATTTATATTTAAGGACGTTGTGCCATACGATATCAAATGCTTTTTGAACGTCTAGGAAAGCTGCTATTGTTGCTTGTTAAATCTGTTAAAGGTAAATTCAACTAACCTGACTAGGTGATCTGCTGTTTGCCTGTTCTTTCTTCCGACATTTTCTATTTCTGACAGTAAATTGTTGCTCTCTAATAACCACAGTAACCTAGTGGTGAATATTTTTTTCCATAAGTTTGCCTATACAGTTTAATAAATTTATCGGTCTGAAGTCGTTAAGGTTTTTGGAGTTCTGTCCTTTTTTTATGGATAAGTGTAACTGTTGCTTCTTTACACGTGTTGAGGAGGTATATTGAGAAGAGAGACAAGTCGAATAGGCTTTTGGAATGCTGTAGTCTAGTAGAGTAGAAGAGGCATGTTTGAGGCCCGTGTTGGATATTTGTCTTCACCGAGGCTCTGTTTTTTAGCGTTCGTAAATGCGTTTTAATTTTCTGTATGGTAAGTGATATTGGAATGTTGCATGCTGATATGTTTGTGGTGACGGTTGTAGTGCTAACAGGAAAGGTGGGTGAAAAGAAGTTTTGATTGCCTTTTATAAACTCGTTAATTTTTAAAGAGTGGTTGTGATCAAGATTGGTGTTGTTAGGTGTGATGAAAGTGTTAGAAAAATAATTAACAAATAGGTTGGCTTTTTGACTATCTGTAGCAGTTGTTGTGTTTTTGATTTTCCCGATGTCTTTAGATTCCTGACATATGTTTTTGAATGTTTTTCCAGAATAAAGCAGGTTTGGGTTTTAAGTCGTTGAGTGTATTACAAAAGCTACTCCAATTCTTTTTTTGATGAATTTTTATTAGTTTTTCCATTTCATTTTTGGCTTTGTTGATTTTTATCCTCCCTTGGAAGAGAGTCCCACCATATAGAAATAAATACCTCCGGGCCACCCCGAGTCCATCCGTCAAGTTTGATCATCCTAGCTCCAAAACTGTGGAAAAGTTAATAAACAAACAAACAAAAAACACAAACAGATATCGTGAATTAATATAGGATTACACTGAAGTTTATAATTAATTATAATTAATCAAAATATATTAGCGGATAAGAAAAATTCATCCTTTCAGAATCAGACGCCCCCCAGTGGCACAGCAGTATGTCTGCGGACTTACAACGCTAGAAACCGGATTTTGATATTAGTGGTGAGAAGAGCACAGATAGCCCATTGTATAGGTTTGTGTTTAACTTCAAACAAACAAACAGAATCAGGCCAGGTTGTTAGGGCGCTTGACTCGCAATCTGAGAGTCGCGGGTTCGAATCCTCATCACAACAAACGTGCTCGCCCTTTCAGCCGTGGGGGCGTTATAATGTGACGGTCAATCCCACTATTCGTTGGTAAAAGAGTAGCCCAAGAGTTGGCGGTGGGTGGTGATGACTAGCTGACTTCTCTCTCTAGTCTTACACTTTTAAACAAAGGACGGTTAGCGCAGATAGCCCTCGTGTAGCTTTGCGCGAAATTCAAAACAAACATTTACTTAGGACTCACGCTGAGGAAAAATTAAACATTCACTTGGAAAATTTTTTGCCTTTCAACTACATTTCGTCAAAACTTAGCTTTAAATAATGCAAACAGACAGATATGTGCAAAAGAATCGAAAACTGAAACTTACATAAATGTTTGTTCTCAAGCGCAAAGCTACAAAAAGATTTATCTTTGCTCTTCCCACTGCGGGAATCAAAACCCGATTTACAGCGTTATACACCTACAGACTTACAGATGAAACACAGGGAGAATTACTGAAATGATCTTAGAAATCTAATATTACGCGATAGGTAACTCGGTTCCGAAAATAAGTCAGTTTCTGCTTGCATGGAAAATAACTTTAAAAACAAGCAAACTGATATAATTTTATTATTGATAAGAACTTTTGAGTGAAAGGAAACAAAACTTTTTGTAACAATATGTCTAACCACAAAATATCTGCTACATATACATTGCTGACGAGGCCTTTCACACAGTACCAAAGCCGATATTGCAGACTCAGCCCAGGAGTACATTACTGTTAATGAGATCTTGGACTGTATCGTAACGATTGCTTGCTTGCTTACTTGGATTGGATCAGCCTTTATTGATTGTAACCATCAACAGATATTGTTACACTATTACAGGCTGAAACTTTTATTTTCTTCTGTCTTTTACTGAACTTGATTTTTCTATGCAGAAATAATAATATTTTTCTACATGAATGTTCCTTCGTATTTCTCAGGTCCAAAATAGTTTTACACTTTGCCAACTTAAACATTCAACAAAACAATTATTCCAATGTGAGTATATATATCAGTCTAAACCTTAAGTGTTTTAATTATTTACTCTCAAAATTTGGGATCATTATTTTTAGAGCTAATTAGATTTTAACTTTCAATATATTTTTTTAAATTTCGACCTTTTTATTGTGGACAGGATTTGGGCCTAAAATGTGTATGCGGAAGAGCAAAAAATAAATACATTTAAATAAACAACGTTAGACTCCATAGTTTTAGATTTTTAGATGTTGCATGTATTACTTTCAAATGCACAAAAATACCAGGCTGGTTTCCTGACAGATTTAGATACAGGCTCGAGATAACACCATAGTTTTATATGTCACTGAAGAAAGTTCATTCTTTTAAGATGGAGTGGGGGATTCCTTAATCATAAATTTTAATTCAATTATTTATGGATTTTCTTATTATCCAGATATTACTTATTGCAATTCATTTAATTTACAGACTGGTGTTTGAATAGACATATGTGAAATTGGACCATATAACTATATTCCAAATGTCTATCTATCCATCACGCTCTGTATCTCCTGAACGGTTAATGTGGAAATATATATATATATGG